GTGAAGATTGGCTATCTTTCTCCTGCAGAGCTGCACAAGAATTCAAACGACATGCCTTTACATTGGCAGTTCAAATCTTTACAATTAAGAAGCTGTTGCTGTTATGTGTCATAAAGTCAGAACCAAATCACAGCTGACCCTCCATTGGTTTTTCAGAGACTGTAAATAGCCTTTCTGTTTTCCATGGAGTATTTGAACCATATGCTTTTGAGTTGACAGGGAAGCTCCTTACCGCTAGGTCACTAGAGGAAGGAAGCATTGGGTGCCATGAAGTTGGGTATGACACATAGTAACCCTAGGAAAAACAGACCCGAACCCTGTCCTGTCCTGTGCTTTCCTCATCAACTCTGACACACCTGAGCCCATTGCTGCAGTCACTATGTCTGTCTATCACGTTAAGGGTCTTTTTCGCTGACCCACTACTTTTCCAAGCATGATGTCCGCTTCCAAGGAGTAGCTCCTCCTGGCAACATGTCCAAAATCTGAGAGATGAAGTTTTGCCATCTTTGCCTCTGAGGAATAGTCTGGCTTTACTTTTCTCAAGATATACCTGGTCTTTTGATAGTCCATGGTGTATTTAATACTCCTCTTCAACACTGCAACTCAGAGATGTCAGTCTTCTTCTTTCATCCTTATTCGTTTGTCCAGCTCTCAGATGTGTGACAGTGATTGAAAAGACCATGACCTCAGCTTCTCTAGCCATTCGTTTGTTGATGGGCACTTAGGTTGTTTCCAACTCCTTGCTATTGTGAACAAAGCTGCAATAAACATGGGTGTGCATATATCTGCTTGGATGTCAGCTATGGTCTCTTCAGGGTATATTCCCAGTAGTGGAATTACTGGGTCAAATGGTATCTCTGTGGTATATTCACACAATGGAATACTATGCTACATTGAAAAACAAGGAACTCATCCAATATTATTCAAAATGGTTGACTCTGGAGAACATTATGCTGAGTGAAATATCCCAGTCACAAAAGGACAAATATTGCATGATGCCACTGTTGTAGAATGGGACTAACCTCGGGGTTGGGGAGAGACTGAGTAAGATGGGTTCAATAATGTATACTGCACTGAAGCAGAGGAGGGAGAAAACTGTTTAAAAGAGATAAGTGACTAGGTATTTCTGTCATCACAGGAGTCTAGAGCGATGGCTACATGGTGGAGGGGACCTGGGGGAGGGTATGTAAAACAATGAAAGAATCTTTTCTTTTACTTTTCCATAATTTTTGACTCATGTACTTATAACTTGTTAGTTAAATTTGTGTCTTCTAGGTTGCAACACCCCCATGATACATCTTCAAGGATATGAACATGTATGGCTAAGCACAATTAATAACAGTGCATTTAAATTCCAAAATCAATCTCCATAATAGTCTATGTGTTTCCTACTGCCAAAGGGGCCCTTTAGAGTAGTGAGAGAAGATCTTCACCCTGAAACCCACAGCGTCCCTTTTCAGCAGGAAGTAGCTAAGAGAATACACCATCCCCTTTCCCTTATGAATCAGGGTGAAGTCTCTCTCAGGGAGGAGTGATAGGGAATGGCAAAGGACACACTGACAAAGGAGATTAAACAGAACTGGCTTTGACAAGCACTGTGGCAATTGGACAATTAAAACAGACATTCGGAGGGCGGGGGAAGAAGAACAAACTGGGGACGAGGGTAGAGAGAATGGTACAGCAATGAAGGAATGAAAACCCAAAATCCCTGTAAATGTTCATTAATACTAATAAAATTAAAAAAAAAAGACCATGACCTGAATCGGGTGATATTAGTCTATGAACTGGCATCATTGCTCTTCAGTTTGTTGGCGAGGTCCCTAATAGCAGACTTTCCCAGTGCCATGTGTCTTATTATCTCCTGACTGTTGATACTAAGGGTGTTGTTTGTTGATCTGAGCAAGGTGAAATCACTGACAACTTAAGTCCTTTATCGATCGTGATGTTGCCCATTTGTCCACTGGTGAGAATGTTTGTCTTCTTGGTGTGAGATGTAATCCATATTGAAGGCCGTAGGACTTGTTCTTTCGCAGGAAATATTTCAGTTCCTCTTCACTTTTGGCAAGCACGGTTGTGTCATCTGCATAATGCAGGTTGTTGATGAGTCTATCTCCAATCCTGATGCCATATTCCTCTTTATAGAGTCCAACCTCACGCACTCTTGGACAGTTTGCAGATTGAATAGGTATGAAGAAAGGATACATCCCTAGCACACACCCTTTCTGATTTTAGACCATGCAGTGTTCCTTTGCTCTGTTCAGATAACAGCTACTTCATCTAGGTCAAGATTTTATATGAGTACATTTAAGTGTTCTAGGATTCCCATTCTTCTCAATTTTAGCCATAATTTGTGATATCCACCCAGTCAGATTCCTTTGCATAGTCAATAAAACACAAACAGACATTTTTCTGGTATTCTCTGCTTTCAACCAGGATCCATCTGACATCAGCAATGATATCCCTGGTGCTGTGGTCTCTTCTACACCCTACTTGAAATTCTAGCAGTTCCCTGTTAATGTTCTTTTAGTTACTTTTGGATGATCTTCAGCAACATTTTGCTTGCCTCTGATATTAACGATACTAATATTGAGGATGTACCATGGACTGCCAAGAAAACAAACAGATTCATCCTAGAGAGGGTTAAACCAGGCTACTCCTTGGAGGCAAGGATTCTGGGGTTTCGTCTGACATACTTTGGACATGTTGTAAGGAGAGACAGGTCTTTAGAGACGGACATCATGCTGGGTAGAGTGGAGGGACAGCGCAGGAGGGGAAGCCCCTCTATGAGGTGGATTGATTCAGTGAGTGGGGTAATCGGGATGGGTGTGTCAGAGGCAATGCAATTGGCACAGGATAGAGCAGGTTTTAGGGCTGTTGTACATAGGGTCACTATGAGTCTCAAACGACTCAATGGAACTTAACAACAACAACAACAACAACAACAACAACATTGAGGAAGCTAGCCTGCAAAAAAAAGAGAATCTCTAAATCTGAACAAGGAGAACAAACACTTAGATGAGTGAAGATTATGACTAGAAGATTGAGAAATAAAAAATATTTGTCACAGAAATGTAAGAAAGATCAGAATTGTGGACCTAATAGAGCCTGGCGGAATTTTTAAGAGTAAGACATGATTACTCTTGAGACCTGGAACAAAACTTAACCAAAATGTGAGTCAACTCTCAAACAATAGATAGAACTGTAAGGGGAAGAGAAAGACTAGGGAGGCACTCCCTGAAATAACCAGCCATATATAGTCAAAAGAAGGACATTTTCCCAAGGATAAATCCCAGAAGACAGGAAGGGATAGGACAGAAGGATAAATAGAAATGAGAGTCACAGGTAGGAAGTGGGTCAAGTGTGATTACATTGCTGGTATTGCAATTATTATAATAACGTGTATAAGTAGTTGAATGAAAAATGAGTTTTCTTAGTAAACTTTGAACTTAACTTACAATAAAAATGATAAAAAAAAGGGATATGCTAATATTGATAATTCCATATAGGGATGTATTATATAGATCAGCCTAGAAGAAAGGGGCCAGTAATGACTGGTAAATTATATGGTACCAGATTGCTGGGTGAAGGAATTATCCCAAAGGGAACAAGAGTCCATGAAACATTTCTGAATAGAGGAAGGTTATTTAAGAAGTGAGATTTTAGGAAGAGTGTTTCTATAGTGGTATGCAGAGTGACTACCGAGGGGAGAGAGTTTAAACAACACAAGTGTGCTATAGTTAGGAACAGAACTTAAGTAAGTAGGAAAAGAAAATGAAAGAAACAATGATTTAAAGTAGTAAGCTATTTGATACAGAATGACTTAAATTCACCTATCTTTATCAAGAGAAAATTGTAATTTCATTCTGGAATAACAAAGCAATTTTTCCTCCCTCTGGAGGGTTGATTTGAAGGAGAAATGGGTTGAGTTTTAGTCATTCTGTATTTCTTGTGATGTTGTTGTTATGTGCCGTTAAGTCACTTGCAACTCATAGCAACTCTGTACAACAGCCCTGGAATCTGCTCTGTTTTTTGCCAATCTTAATGTCTCTGACACACCTACCCTCATTAGTCAGTGAATCAATCCATCTCATTCAGGGTCTTCCTCTCTTGCGCTGTCCCTCCACTCTTCCAAGTATGATGCCCCTCTCTAGGGACTGGTTCCTCCTTGCAACATGCCCAAAGTATGTCAGATAAAGCCTCAGAATCCTTGTCTCCAAGGAGCAGCTTGGTTTCATCTTCTCTGGGACAAACGTATTTCTTCTCCTGGAGGTCCATGGTATATCCCATACTCTTCTTCCGCACCACAGCTGGAAAGATGTAAATGTTGAGGATAGAAAAAACTGATGCTGAGATTGCAAACATAGGCAACATCCTTTTTCTATAAGATTATCATTTAAACTAATGAAGAAAAGATCCCAGAGAATGATACAGACCGATGACTGAATCCTGGAGATAGAAGGGGGTGGAGAGAAATTGAGGGGGTAGTTATGTTTTTTGAAGAAGGTTCTGGGAGAATGAGAACTGAAAACAAACAAAAGAAAACCCAGTGGATTTAAAGATACTTGATTAAAGACATTTGAAAGCATTGTTTGAGTGGACTGGTTGAAATTGGGACTCAGAGTACATAGAACTTTGTGACTAAGTAGATGATAGAGAAATAAAAGCAGAGAGTGGGACCATGAAGATATTATACTCGTTAGTTCCGCAGGGGTTTGCTTCTCTGTCCTTCTGCTTAATGTGCAGGCTGGGAGATTGAAGAAGAGTGAACTCAACCCTGTTCGGCTAGCTACCTGATGGCAGTGTCTGCAGGAGGGGTGAGGAGGGTGAAACTATTAGTTATTTGGATCCTGATGAATCAGATCAGTCGTACATAATGACCCTCATTAGCAACATGGATTGAAACTTGTTGTAAATTTAATGAAATTAAAAATTAAAAATCGATATTACAAAAAATTATGCTCCTACTAAATGTAATGTTTTTCTTTTTTTAAAATACTCAGTTTCTATGCAGATTTTGGACCTCTGAACTTGGCAATGGTGTATAGGTACTGCTGTAAACTGAACAAGAAGCTAAAGGTGAGTATTGCAGTGATGTTTATATTTTTATATAAGACTTTTGAACTGTACAATCTAACAGACAGAATGGCTGTGCACACCCATGTATGTGGGTAATCTTGATCTTTGGAAATATATGTGAGTAGTTCACCTGGAAGTTGAAATTGATCCTCCTGGTTATACCACAAAGGGCATGTTTGCTCTCTTTCGTTTTTCAAGATGAGTTGAAATATGAGCTGAATGAAATAATTGGAATAGTGATCTAAGTAAAGAAAGCATAAATCCTTTCAGGTCGTCATTAATGAGCTCTATCAGATTCCCTCCTAGGATAATTTTTCTGAAACCCTCAGGTACTTATGGACACTGTTACCAGGTGATGAAAACCTGGTTGGGTGGCTGTGGGGGAGGGAGTTGCACTTGTTGCTATGGAGTCAATTCCAATTCATGGTGAACCTATGTGTGCAGAGTAGTAGGTAGAACTGTGTGCTCCTTAGGGATTTTTAAGGCTGAGGGTTTTTTTGGAAGCAGCTTACCACGCCTTTTTTCTTAAGAGCCTCTGGGTGGATTTGAACCACCAACCTTTTAAAACTAATAATTGAGTGTTTAACCATTTACACCATCCAGGGATTCCCACCAGGTGATGAATAGCTTTAGTACTACATGGTAGAAACTCTGGGACATAACATTTTTCTCTCTGATCAAGATTGAAAGTTTTGCATATTCTTTGAATGTCATTTCTACATAGTTCACAACCAAGTAAAATTGATAAACTAGCATGAAATTCGTTATAAAATAATTAGGGCCACAAATGCAGTGTTCATCCATAGCTTTGATTTTCTTCACTGATGCGTGCGTTTTGGTATGTGATTTTCTACCCCTTAGCCTACACAAAGGGCAGTGACATCTCTACTCTTAGTTTGGGCAAACTTCCTTCAACATTGTATTTTCCTTTCAGGTTTCTAAATGAGGATCTTATATGTACTGTTTCCGTTTGGAAGGCAAAATGCTATACAACATGCTTTTAAGAATGACTGCTAAATTATAATGTTTATGTAGCTTGTATAATATATATTGTTAAAGTAGTTTATTCTTTCTGTTGGGTGAATTGTTAGGAGTTACTTAGTTTGATGTGTAATATAACATTGCACATATTAATGACTAAGTACACATTTGATTAATTTTTATTGAACTTAAGTTTAAAAGGTGATCTACAAAGGAGAAGAATATATAGTGTATTTTTTAATATATAGTAAATTTTTGCCAGTCTACTAAAAAAGCTAAATGGTGATGAAAGGGTACTAACGGGAAATATTTTTAGTCAATATTCACATAACAGATGTTGTATTTCACACTTTTTGGGCCTTAATTTGTAAAGTTTAGTCTGATATGAAATGATAGATGTACATTCTTTTTAGCTAAACGAGAAATGTGTTTTTCAGAAGAGATGCTATTTTATGTAGCTTCTTTTATGTTTAGAATATAAAGTTGAGAGTTTTTTTATTCACCAAAGAAGCAAATAATATCCTTTTTATAAATAATGGGCTTTTAGTGGCTGAATTAACAAAAAAGAGGATAATTGAAAAAATGATTAAAGCTCATTTTCCCTTTCAAGGGCTGAAGAATATATTTTTTTTAAAAAAAATAGCTCTATTAGTAAGCAGTTGGTGTAAAATTAATATAATAATTATTAATATGGCACCCAGAAACTGTGTAGGGTGATGAAAGAAAAGAATCATTACTGGGAAAATGAAATTGCTGGTCTGATGGAATATTCTATTTAAAGCAATATTATTAGAGTAGATGGACTGAATAAAGACTATTTATTCTACTATATTCTATGTTGAACAGTGTAGGTACATATTTGTGAAGTCTTATTTTGCTTTATTTTCATCTACAAAGCTTTCTTTCAGCAGTATTAAGTTTAATAAAGTTCAGACAGCTCCCTCAGTTTATTTCAGAGATCAGGCAGTCTGTTGGGTGTCTGGAATGACATTTTGATACAATTTTAATAATATATTCCCCAAAACATAATGGATACTCTGTTACCTGGTTAAGGAGTGAAATTTCAAACCCCAAATCTTAATAAAGCTTACATTATCTCAGTGAACCATGCCAGATAGCACTAAGGTCTACAAGACAGAAACAATCACAATTTTGGATTATGTTTACCAATCTGAGATTGTGATTGTTTCTGTCTTGTGGATCTTAGTTGTTTTTTTTTTTTTTAATCTGTACAATAGGGGTTATAGTAGTATAACAAGGTGGTAATTAGGATTATACTAGAAATTATATGTAGAAGAGCTTGTAAACCTTAAGGTCTTAGATAAGTAAAATTAACATTGACATTTGTGAATTCTCTTAGGAAATCTAATAAAGACATTTTCTTCAAGGAGGTTTATGAGCCTTTTCTTAGTCTTATGGTTGCTATTTCCATACCAGAACACTTTCCAATGTAATTTTAGGATCTAAATGACTATTTGTCATTAAGTGCTATTGAGTTGAGTACCAACTCATAGTGACTCTATAAACATCAGATCGAACCCTGCTCTATCCTGTGCTGTCCTCATCATCTCTGCTCACTAGAGCCCGTTGTTTCAATCACTGTGCCAATCTACCTTGTTGAGAGTCTTCCCTCCTTTGACCCTCCAAAGTATGTGAGATAGCGTCACCATCTTTGCCTTTAACGATCATCTTGGCTGCGCTAAAGGACCACTTAATCCTCATGATTTTATAGGTGCTGAAAGAAGAGTTTCATGCCTTACCTATGGACACATAGTAAAGTCAGGACTAGACTTCACAGCTCTTGACAAACTCATCCATTGCCCTTTCTAGCTTTGGTGGTCCCACAGCCTCTAGGTTAGTCTTCCCCTGTTCACCCTCTGTCATGCTCAGACTGATGTCACCGTCCATGAGGCTACTCTCACCATGTTGTCACAGTGGCCTGGAGGCTTTTCTGCTGTGCTCACTCCAGAGAGTATTGTTGAGATTGCTTGCCAGAAATGAATCACAGATCTTACAAATTTTGAGCATAACTTCTTGTTCTATAGCTCTTACATTCCTATCCTGCTTATGCACCCTTTAGGTCTCCAGTGTCCTTAATCACCTGGACCATTAGCTCCCTGCTGATGTCTGCTGCCTGCAGTTCAGGATCTCTTGGTTTGAGAAGGCCTTGGGGATCCCTTGCTTCTGTTCCCTTTGTCTTATTTGCTCCCACTTTTGCAACTTCTCAGTGGGTGATTTCATGCTCCATTGTACTGGGAAGATTGCACATCCCTGCCCCTCTCAGCTTCACATTTTACACTGACTACCCCACACTTTGGCTTGTGATTCTCTTTCTGACTTCAATGCTGTTTCTGTCTAGGGTGATAACCTGTTGCTATGTGCTGTCTAGTTGGAACTGACTCATAGTTGACCCTCCTCAGGTTTTCAGAGGCTGTGAATTGCATGGGAGGAGATTGTCTATCTTTCTGCCATAGAACAAGCAGCTTATGGATTTGAACCACCTGCCTTTTGGTTAGGAGCACAACTCCTTATAACTAGGCCACCAGAGTTCTTGGGGTGATAAATCCTCCTCCTTTAAGACTTCTGGTACCAAGACTTCTGAGAAGCATTTCTTGTCCTTTTGGGCTGAGAGAGGGGTCTTCTTTTTCTTTCTATAATTGTCAGTGTAAATCTTGATAAGTTACAGTTATTTATTTGTACCTGGCTCTTTCACTAGCTTATCAGTTTCTAGTGGATGAGAACTTGTGTCTCTTTGTGTCTTCCTTGCTCAATACAGGGTCACCAAGCATGAAGAATCTTGCATTGACATTAACATGAGCTCCTTAATTTACAAGTCACCTTTTATCCCTTTGTCTTAATGTAAAAAAAGCAGATGCAATGTGGAGAAGACTGAGTCTGACTTCTACTTGCTTCATAAAGGGGAACTGTCCCTATCAATAACATCCATAGTACCCAACAAATAACTAGAGGGTCAGACATACCACCTGCTCATGCTTCTGCACCTATTTCTAGGAATCCTTTGGTTCAATGTTTGTTGCAAATTGACTCACTGAGTTTACTCGCACTTATGGAGTTTATTAGGGAAGTAGGTTTCGAGGTGAGGGAGACAAAGGATATCAGATAGTGAAAGCCTAACTTTAGTGAACAGCAGCCCCAAGACTAACATCAAGACATAATTCCTCAATTAGTTCAGATAGCTTCACAGTCAATAGGTGAAAAGTCTAGGGTCAGTTCAGCATAACATATAAACCTCTAATTTCCTCAATTGTTCAGAAACCTTTGTCTCATAGCATTCACAAGTCAGTCATCCAGAAACAAAACCTTTAACTCCATCTTCAAGGTTCTGTCAGGTTACACCTTGCCACAGTCTCTTCACAAGCTCTTCACACACTCTTCACACTTTCTTCACACTCCTTTCACAGTTTCCCCACAGTCTGGAAAGCACTCCCTCTTATATTGGGTCCCATAGCTATTGATGATTTGCAAGACCAGTGTACAAAGATGAAGTAGCAAGAGACTGTGCCCCCAGGTGCACTAATACCATGGATGTTGTTGTTTGTTGTTTTGTACCATGAAGTCAGAATTGACCCATAGTTGGCCCTCTGGTTGGTTTTCAGAGGAAGTAGTTGCATGGGAGGAGATTGCCCATCCTTCTCCTACAGAGCAGCCTGGTGGATTTCAAACCATAATCCTTCAGGATTGCAGCACAGATTCTTACCAGTAGATCACCAGAGCCATTTTTTAAAATTCAGATACCATACTTTACAAGTTTTAGAAGAACAGTTTTCCCTCAGAGTGTTTATATACTTGCTATATGCTGATTTGCTAGTTCTTTGTACTCTGACCTTGCCTTTTATACACATCTTGAAAATGTCTTTGAAACATCCAAACTCTGAATCTTATGGTGTTTACTTGGTTCTCAAATTTCCTCAACTCCCCCAGTCATTGCAGTTGAGTTGGCTTGACTCATAGTTACCCTCTATTGTATTTCTGAGACTATAAATCTTTATGGGAGGAGA